GAGAATCGCACATCGACACACCGCTGCCTACTCACCTCAGAGCAACGGGCAGGCAGAGCGTCTTGTCAGGGTACTGTTGACAGGCCTACGCAAATGCATCAACGACAAGGAAGACAACTGGGACATTGAGGTCTATCAAATTCTCTATGGTTATAGAGCTACCCGACAAGATAGAACACGGTTGAGCCCGGCGCTATGTGTGTTCGGCAAAGAACTTACAACGGCGGCTGAACGCAGCACCGCCCCGAATCCCACACTACCGTCTGAGGACCCTAGCGGAGGTTAGCCCCGGCCAGGTGGCCAGGTTTCTGAAGGGGGGGGACGCTACAGCTGTAGCGACTTCCAGCTAGTCATAGAAAACTGAGTCTGACGGCTTTGGTTGCGTATCGTTCCGGGCATAGCAGGAGGTCGAATATTGCCATATCGTTAATTAAAAACTATAAACGCGTTGAGAATGGTCATGTACATACGGCGCACCACGTAAAGACTGACGATGTATGTTTCGACCGGGCGGCGTAAAAGCAGGCGATTTGTGTCTTACGATCTAGCTCCGGTCTGAGAAATGTTCTATGAAAAATATCCTGTACTAGTTTCTTCTCAGTTTCCTTTGGCCGCCATGAACCTGGCCAGGAGCTGCGTAAACGGGTAGCTACCGTTGCGTAATGAGCAGTTGCTGCGCGAAAAGGGTAGCTACGTCTTACGTTGACCATACGACAGTTGTACGAATGGCGGGCGCGTTTACCATATATAAGGCGCGGCCTGACCAATGTTTTCCGAGGGATATTCCAATCATACAACTCCCGCGCACGGTAGCAGGGCGCACCGGCCAAGGCAGTTTGTAACGGATATCGCCTTCACTTGGCGTGGATGACTCCCACCCATTTTATCTTGTCAACAGCCAACCAGGTTCCAAGCTGACATTGGGCCTAGTGGCCAAGAAGCAGTAAAACTCTGCTCACATCAGGCTCACAACCACACCTGGGCCTACGGTCTCAGGACAAAACTCTGATTCTGCTTCCGCTCGCGCACACAAATCTCGATCCGATCCCACTACAACAATCTACTGGTATCGATTCCTTTCTCTAAACGATCCTGGGCGCCCCGGTGTGTCCATCCAGCGGTTTCCCCAAACGCGAAAATTTTTGGGCTGCCGCTGGGTGCCGCCCGCCGCGGCGCGGCGCTACAACCGCACTAGTTGTGTCCGGAGTGCGCTGTTTAACAGTGCTGTAGTTATTCAGCCAAGGAGTCGCACGATCGGCTGGTGTGTTGCACCAGATATGCTGTCCACTAAGATTATGTGAAGTGAACGAGTCTGGACAGGCAAAGTTAGGACAGAGGGAATTGTCGTTTCGTACGTTACAGGATGCATCGATCGTGAACACCCGACCCGAGGCCTTCTGCAGATGCAAAAATACTGAACGAAGTACCCAGTGGCTGCAGTCCACCGTTGGATTCCGGGTTGGTTCCTCTATGTCCATCGGTTCCCCACACGAGTTGCCTGAGGCTACGGTGTGGGCAACTTCCTAGGCATCCGCTTTTTTGCGGTCCGTTTGCCGCATAGGTGGCCTTGCCAAAGGGCTCTCCACAATGGTGGCAGATGTTTTTCTCTTTTGCCATC